CGGAGCCATGCAAACGTCTCAACCTCACCGTGCAGTTATTAATCATCAGCGCTGAAAAATACACACATAAAGCCAGCGCCCGCCGTTACAATGGTTCTTATATGGCTGGTCAAAGCAGGGATAACTGCATGGGATGGGACGTGTGTGCCGGAGTCGATCTCCTCCCTTGGTTTGGCGCTCGGCTGGTCCTAGCTCCACTGTCGTCCGCTACATGGGGCAACACGAGGAGAGCTTGTGCAGTCCTGGCCCGTGTTTTTCTCATCCTCGACAACCTTCTCCAGCGAGCCGCCGTGGGCCAGCGTGAGAGAGCTCCACCGCGCGTGAGCGTTTCTTCTGCAGGGGACGGTTGGTACCATGGCGAGCGCGTCTTCTTCCTCCGGGCCGACAGGTGCTCCACCGGTGAAGTCAGGGTGGACAAGCAGCAGCCCTCGGATGGGCATACGAGGGCCCTGCGCGGCGGCACGCTGTGGTCCAGATCTGGCGTGCCATCCCTTCCCCGACCGGGACTCCAGCGAGCGTGGCCGGGTCCAACGGTGGGCGCGACATCATCAGGGTATCGCGCGTCTCAGGTGGAGACAGGCGGTGTCGGCATGGACTGCATGAGCTCCTCCCCTTCTCTCACTACGTGGTGACGACTAGAGGTTGAAAGAGAATCTGACGAGTAGGGCCCACGCATCATTGAGTGGAGGGAGAGAAACAGTAGGGGCAAAACTGTCTTTTCCCATGTCCAGTAGTGGTTCCCGGGGACGCTACTACGCTGGCATGCCTGCGTGACGTGCCACATCAGCAAAAGTGGTAAAATCTTAGACGTTTCACTATTTGCAATGGCAAATCTTTAGGTGCATGCACAAAACTGGCAATTGGAGAGGTGCCATCCGTAATGATGGCAAAAAGTTAAAAATTCCCCGTTGAACGGGGGATGACGACGAGCTGTGTGAGACGTGACTGAGCCAGCTCGCCGTTGGGTCCAGCCGTCGTTCCCCGACCAGCATCAGGCAGAGGAGACCCATCCTGCGGCGGAGGCGACATACTTGGAGGAGCGCAGCACCTTCGAAGGGAGCCCGAGCCTACTGATCAGCAACCGCTACGGCATCTGGTCCGTCACCCACCGCCGCTACATCCGCAAGACGCACCACCACCGCTTCCATGATCTGAACAAGGAGCTCCACCCCATCAAAAACAAGGTGCGCATGGATAGGATGAACCAGTGGCTGCAGTACAAGCAAGACGAGGAGCTCAGGTCCCTCTGCGCCGAAAGCTGGCCGACCTCTATTGGTCCCTCATGCCGGAGGAGGCGAGGAGGACGATCGTGCTCCTCTACTGTCACCGTCGGCAGCGGCTGCAGTAGGGGCGCTTCATGTGCTTCACTGCCGCGGTGGTGGTGGTGGTGGCTCTCGAAGGTTTTGTGCTGCTCAGTCTGGTGCACATGGGATGCTTCAGATGCCGAGGGCTGGCAGAAGGTGTTGGCGCGTGTGCCTTCGGACAGTGGCGGAGCCAGAATTTCACAGCAGGGTATTCCATGTATAATTTTTTTTTCAATACAAATAAGCAACAGTAATAAGCAAAGTACAAATACGCAATAGTAGTCAGCGCCAGCGGCTCCTTTGCCGGCGGGCTTCGACGCCGGCCACTGGGCGCAGCCGCGCAGGGCGCTGGTTGCCGCCATCGGGCTAAAGCGCCAGCGTTCATTGAGCGGAGCAAAGAGGGTGTGTAGGGCCGGGGAGCGCGCGGAGTGGTGGTGCCGTTAGTGGCCACCGGGCTGGCTCGATCGAGTGACGGTTTTGCACGGAGCATTGAGAGATGTCGATCGCTTTTGCCTTTCTTTTTTTTTTGATAAATTCTGGAGTACGTGACTTCGTGCGTTGCTACTGCTGGTTGTTCTATTGCGCTAATGGGCCATATTTGCAGCATCCAACATACCAACATATACATGTATACTATATTTGTTTTGTTTCAAAATCATGGGTATTCCATGGCATACAGGGGCATACCCCTGCCGCCGCCCATGCCTTCGGATTGCTCCGTAGGAGAGGGGGCTGCTCCAACGCGTCCAGTGCAGAGGGGGCTGCCCAGGCGCATTCCTGAGGTGCTGCGTGACAAGTGCTTCAACTGCCTCTCATCGTCGCATCGGGTGGCGACCTGCAAGCTGCCATCGCGATGCCTGCATTGCCGGCGATTTCGCCACCTTGCGCGTGATTGCAGGCATTCGCGCCTGTTGGCTTGGGGCAGCTCGGCTGCCATTGGCAATGGTGCAATCAGCCTGGCTCCCGACAGGCCACTTCCGGCGTCGCAATTGGTGGTGTTTTTACGCAGCTATGCCTATGTCCCTATGACTGTGGTGGTTCCGTGCTCGAAGCTTCAGTCCGTGATCGTCTCCACAGACGTCGGAGGAGCCAGCAGAGACGGAAGCGAACGCGAACACGTAAGCTTTCCGTGGAGCATGAACAGCATATGGGTTCGCTGGATGCTGGTGGTTCGGCCGAGATTGTCGGTGCCACTACACCTGGCTGCCACGACGAGCCGGGTCGTGTCATTTCTGGGCTCGATCCGTTGACATTGTCGATGCGCCTAGACGAGGGGCATGACGGTCTAGACATTGCAGATGATCCGATGATGGTGGAGCTCGTTACCTCGCTCCCTGTCATACAGACAGATGGAGCACTGCCGACTGTGCTTGATGGTATTGCGGAGGACGACGCCCCCTTACTGCCATCTTCGCCTGCACGTAGCTATGGGTCGCTACGCCTAGGCGCGGGGCATGTCGGCTGCGATGTGGCAGAGGATCCGATCATGGTGGAGCTCGTTGCCTGGCTCCATGTGATCCAGACAGCTGCAGCCCAGACAATTGGGCCTTCGTCTCCCGTGCTTGTTGCGCCCACGGAGGACGAAGCCCCCAAGCTGCCACCTTCGCATGTGCGTAGCTGTGGGCTGGCTTCGGATCCTTCGGCAGACTCCCCAGACCTCAGCGAAGCGTAGAGTTTCATCGACGCCATCAAGCTACTTATTATGTCACCGCCTAGGCTCCGCATCACCAAGGACCCAAAGGCTGCTGACGATGACGATATCGTTCCCAAGCGCAGCGCCCGTTTAGCTGCTAAGAGCAAGTTCAAAGCAACGAAGCTGGATGCCCAAGCAAGAAAGGTGCTCTTGAAAAAGCTCGGCCTCGAGGTTGAGGTCGAGACAGCGAAGCCTGATGAGGTGTCCTTTAAGGAGTTTTAGCAGAGTTTCACCACGCCGCTGACCCCCTTGAAGGCGGGAAGCCATGGAGGCCCTCTTTCCGGGGAGAGGTCGGCGTCGACGGACATCGATTACGCCAAGCGAGGTGACGAACGTCAAGTAGGCTAAGCGGCCCCAACGCTTTTGCCTCGTTGTATCCATGGCCGTATAGTCCTTTGAGTGTGTTGTACCTGCTAGGCTTTTGCTCTAGCTGATCGACGAATCCTAGCTACTTATGCATGCTAGCGTCTTGCCAGTGGGCATGAAGCAACCGGAGTTCGTCGATGTTGTAAAACAATTCCTTTCGTCTTAATGAAATATGGGTACATGTACCCTTTCGCGAAAAAAAGGGTCCGCCTGTTCCTAGGCTTGGGTTACCTTGCTCTGGTGTTGCTGCTAGATAGGGCCGCCGTGGAATATGATCTGTGATCCCGACCCTTTCTAGTCTACAGAATCACATTATATATTGTATTATTGTTGGGTGCCATCGGTCGATGTCGCACCTATCCACTGGACTATCAAAATTGAGAACTCTGACAACTTACTCTTAATCTTGCCTTATTTAAATCCTTACTATGTGTGAGTAATCAGTCTAGAAAAAGGCAAACTTCTTATTATAATACCCTAGCTGTAAGTTTACCACATACTTAGTAGCTGTAAGTTTTGTTCTTCAGTGTAACCATACATTATTTGTAAACCATGCCTTAAGACATAGGTTTATGCTTCAAAACTGAAATATGCTTTTAGTGAACGACCCATGAGATCATCTAACAGCTCCCGAAACCTACGACGCTACGCGCGCATGGGGAACATCACTTTGCTTTCGCACAATCTGGTTTGAAACAAGTGCGCCAGCCAACACTGAAGACAAATAATGCATACAGTTTGCCAGAGGAACAATATGAAGGCAGAGGTGCACAAAATCTATTAACTTATCAATAACTTCTATTTTATACAGTAGATAGCAAAATCCATAGTATCTATTCTTACCATTTAACAAATAATAGGGAGCTCAGCGGTAGACAGCCGCTGTAGCAAGCTCCTATGAACGAATTTATAGAAGTAGTAAATATGTCCAGTTCCATATCCCACACTATAACAACAAATATTATACTATTACTACATTCTGCCGATGCACTTCCTCTGCAGCAGGTGTGCATGGTGCATGGTACATAGAATACTTGAAACAATCAAATAATTGCATTTCCACCACAACTACACATACTGAAATATGCTAAGCAGGTTACTCCATGGGCTGCAGCATCACAAAGAATGCATGTGTCTTTACGAGATGTCCAGTAAGATATCCCAATACACAGAACAAACACATCAATAGCTTTCTCACTAACTTTATTTTGCAAAATAAGAACTAAACTAAAACATTCTCACAACTGCAGTGTTAATGGAAGGTTGTTATATGCTTGTTTTTGTATAATATGTCAATGCAGGCCGAGCAAACAATTCTGGATCCTAACCACTATGTATGTAAATCCACCCCTATGTAATGCAAGTATCAAAACTTAACCATCAAAATGTATATTGCCTACGTATAGTCTTCTTAGATATATGGTTTATCGTCTCTAGAAAAACTTCGTTTTCACATGTTCCAAACCATACAGCAACACGTGCAGGGGCGCACGGCAGCAACTAGTTATTACTACTACTGCAACAGGCTAACACCGACGGTGACATTCACAGATGGGAGCAGGGGTCTTGCAAGAACCGTGGGTGATCTATCTGACGTGGGGGCATGCTGTTGGTGGCAGTGTCTGGCGGGCATCCCATCAGATGGCACCACGGCCGCCGCTGAGGATGTCGAGCGCGGCGAGGGCGGCCTTCTGGACCCTCTCCCGCTCGTCGTGCAGCGCCCAGCCTTTCTCCGCCACGGCATCCCCTGCGCGCTCCACCTCCACACCGATCTCACCGTCACACCGCACGATCTCGCTGCCACCATCGTCACAAGAGGCATGGCACAACGGCCGTCAGGGCCAAGCCGGATGACTTTCGCAAGGATTAATCGGGAATCTGAAATGATGATGCGCAGCGCGACGGGTGCTCACCTGCTCATCTCTGCCCTGCACCTGCTGCGACACGCCTGCGCAACGCAAAACAGTTCACGCTCGTGTTAGCATGAGTAATACTGTATCAGGGAATGCACAGGTGCCAACAGTTCTTCTAATGGTTTGCAAAGCAATTGCAGTGTGCACTTGTGAACTATCAGTAGTTTGGGTATATAGAATTTAGTAAGCTATGTACTCTATGGAACAGAGGTGATTTGTAGATGAAATTCGTTTGACTTTATGTAAAATCTGATAGAAAATATGATCTCTAGGATCGTAGATCAGGGGATAAACTTGACTTAGATGGGAGACTTGGTGATGTACCTCGCCATGCGTAGTCACGGCCACGGCGCCACCGTGACATGGCCACTGGAGTCGTAGTAGGGGAAGCCGTGTAAACGCCCGCTAGGTCGCCGAACGCAGCAGCAGTGCAGATGCGGTGCTGTGGCGGCAGCGAAGGAGATGGCGCTTCCCGTCGCTCACAGCGCCCCTCTCGATCGGTCTAGGGTTAGGAACTTCGGGGTGGGGCTGGCGTCTACCGGTGACCTCATGTCTTGTGCCCCAGTCCCCACCGTTCTTTTATGGCACTGCGCGACGGGGCCCATTAGCCAGGAGAACCGGCTGAGCGCCCCCGATCAGGACACGGATCAAGGGCCCAATTGGTCGTTGGGCCAACTGGTGGAGATCATCATAACATTCTCCCCCTTGATCTCACCTTATGACTTAAACTCAACTTACTTTATCTTTTTCCCATTCCATCACAGATAAGTGCATAGAGCGTGCCTCATCGTCACGATCAGTTGCCACTAGATTAAACAACTATAATGCACCTCTCTATTTTGAAACAGATTCTCAATTAGGCCCTTAGTATATAGAAATCATAGGCTTCCCCGTAAACCCATGTCGACTGTGTGTTCTCTGAACGCACTGAGTGATTAGCCTTTGGTAAGCGGATCCGCAAGTACTTGCTTGGTACTCATATGTTCAATGCTTTTAAAATGATTCTGGATTTTCTCCTTTACAACATATAACTCAATGTCAATGTGTTTGGCAGCACTCTTGATCTGTTGTCTTAGGAGTTAACTACTTTAAATGGTTATTGCTGTTGACTACCATTGTTAAATCCAAGTACTAATTCTCTTAATCTTCTTTTGCCTGTTCCTGAGGCCTCATAACAAGCTATACTATGATATGCATCATTGATGATACCACAACTGTTTCATTAGAGCTTTTCCACAATAATACTCTAACTGCGAGTGTTAGCAATTACTGTGGATTTCACTACACATCTCGCCAAAACTTAACATTTGTACCCATAACTATTTGAGAGTACTTGTTCTTTCTTACTCAGCATGAGGCCTTTGATACTTTGCAAAATTGCAAGACATTCTTAACTTCATTCCAGTGATCTATATCTGGACTGGACTTCTGCCAAAATATCCCGGATACGTAAACTACGTCAGGGTAAGTTCTTACTTGTACTTGTACACTCATCAAGCTTCCAACAGCTGAAGCATATGGAACTATGTTTATTTGATCGATCTCATATCGGTTTCTGGAACACTTAAAGTTTCTAAATCTATTACCCTTGACTATAGGAGCAGACGTAGGTTTACTCGCATGTATATTTTATTTCTTTAGAATTTTTTCTAAGTATGCCATTGCGATAGTCCTAATACCCCATTTTCTTCTATATCGGTGAATTTCGATTCTTAGAACCAATGACGCTTCACCAAGATCATTTACATTGAAACTTGAGGACAAAACTTCTGCTTCTCCAATGACAGATTAACATCACTACTAGTGAGTAGAATGTCATCTATTCACATGATGTGGAAAATGAATTTTCCATTCTTGAACTTCGCGTAAACGCTATTGTCCTTCTCATTTTCTTTAAAACCCAAACTTTCTCTTTGTTTCATCAACTTCAAATACTACTGTCTATAGACTTGTTTTAACCCATAAATATATTTCTACAGGTGGCATCCCATACGTTCTTTTGCTTCCACGACAAAACTTTTGGGTTGTGCCATATAAACGTTTTCATACAAATCCTCGTTGAGGAATGTCGTTTTTACATTCACCTGATGTAACTCTAAATCGTAATGTGCTAATAACACCATTTTGATTCTAAAGAATTCTTGCATTAAACTAGAGAGAAAACTCTCATCGTAATCTATTCATCCTCTTTGCGTAAAGCCTTTTGCTACAAGTCATGCTTTATATATTTCTATATTTCCTTTGGAGTCACGTTTTGTATTGTAGACCATTTTACAGCCTACTGTTTTGGCTCTATTAAGAATTTCTTCTAAGTCCCTAACATCGTTGGTATTCATCGAATTCATTTTAACTTCCATAGTTTCTTGCCATTTAAACGAGTAAACGCTTCTTATGGCTTTTTCAAATAAGGTGGGATCACCCTCTATTTGAATTTTTTTACTAACATAGACTTCATAGTCATCAGAAAAATTGGTTTACTAATTCTTTAAGATCTTCTGGGGCCTTAGGTACCGGCACTTTCATATGGGGTTGTTGTTGCTCTTTATTGCCAAGAGGCAATTGATTCTATAGACTCCTGTATTACAAGATCCTTATTTATATTATTCATCTTCTTCGAAGAGCTAACAACAGGTGTTATATTAGTCATACAATATCAATAGGTATTGAGAAACTTATTGCTCCTGAGTCACTAGAGTGGACACGTAGTCCCTCTTCTCTTCAAGTCTTAGGTCTCTACTTACCTCTACATACCATGCTCCCCCAGATCATCCTATCTTTTTTAAAGATAATGTATCTTCAAATATCTTATTTTAGGTTTAATCTGTTAAAACCTCATATGGCGCTTTAAGCACCACCTTAACATCTTTGAGGCTGACTACGCTATCTTCCTGTCAGAACTTTAAAAGGTCCAGTAATTTAGCTATTTCTCTGCTTAGGGGTATTATTGTTGTGACCGACGGTCACATTCATCAAAAACTTTATCTCTCTTAATGAAGAGTACACATTCATCAACATCTTTATCTCACTCTTAATGAAGAGTAGTTTCTTAATTGATCTTAATTCTTACTCTTAATTCATCTCACAACTCTCCCCCTTGAAATATGGCATGAACTTTACTGTCATAATGTCGAGAACTATTCAAAAAAACTGTGAACGAGGAGACACTTATGACTTACTTCATTCACATGATTATGCCATGCAAATAAAGTTATTTCTTGATCCGTATAGGAGTACATTGTCCTCATTCCACTTTAAGCACACGACAAGGTCTTTTATTAACTGTACTTTTGTAAGTCACGCTTGCATCTTTCTCTTATCCTTTGATTAGTATTAACTATGACGGTGCATTTCTATTGTGCCATGGTCAATACTAGGATAGCATAAGAGCTATCCAAACTTCTCCCGCTATGCGGGATACAAAAACATATGAGTCATCACAAAACTTTTCTCACCATGCAGGATTGACTGGCATAAGTACTATGCTAAACTTCTCCCTATGCGGGATAAATCAATATACAAACACGCATGCTTAATCCAAAGTTGGTCAAATTAGACATGCATGTTACTTATTGCAACTCTTATCATAAAAACATTCACTTATACTTCCTTTTTCAATTAAATCTTCCCGGTGGTTCCAATTTAATCAGAAAATTAATAAACTAACAAAAAACGATCCTGAACTGGATTGACTCAAGCCTTTTCCATCACATAGCCCAACATTGCAGCCCGTTGGCATGCAGCCGAGTGATTTCGTCGATAAAATAAATAAGGTGCTTCTGCATCAATTCTACATCACCGTTGGGCAGAAAATAGAATTAATGCATAAAACTCATAAATCAACTTGAAATACTTATAACTACTCTTCAAAATTAAGTTCTCCCGTTGGTTTGAATTTAATTAGAAGATAATCAACATCATCGCAGCAAAAATTTGATAATAAAATACATTCTTTTAGTTCAGGAGCATTTCTTGTTCCTTATCTACTCTCTGAAAAATTGACCATGTTTGTGTAAAATTTATCAGAGATTTAAACTTTAAACTTAAATTCATTATAATATTGTTATCATCAACGTTGGTCAGAAAATAATAATATCATAATCTAACATAAACATAATCGAACTACTCTAATTTAAATTTTCCTATTGATTCCAATTTAATTATAGGATAAACATAATCATAATTTACTAAAAGTAACTGTTCTTTAAATTAAATTCTCCTGTTGTTTCGAAATTAATTAGAAGATAATCAGCATTAAACTTTGTAGCGGAAACATGAAAAAATTATTTATCTACTTTTCAGAAGCATTTCACTGTACTCATCTACTCTCTGAAAAAATTATCCCGTTGGTTCAAATTTTGATCGAGATTTAAACTACACAAAATCATCAAAATTTGCTTCTGAAAATGAATAAACATGAAAACTAAAAACTTCACTGTGCATTTGGGCCAAAACCACTAGCGTGATGCATGCTGTCGCGGCCCAGCAGCGAAAACCGGCCCGCGGCGGCCGCTCGCGCCTGGGCTGAAAGCAACCCGAGCAACGCCGGTCGTCGAATCGCATCGGACATTCTCCGCGCGTGTCGTTCGAATAAAACAGCGTCGCGGCCACTCTCCCAGAAACCCTAATTTCATTTTCTCTTCTCCCTCCCTCTCCTCTCCACGCCACGGCGGAAAAACGAGAGCAGCGGAGCGGCGCCGCCGTCGGTCCCCTCATCGGCGAGCGCGCTCGCCCTAGGCTGAGTGCGCCGCCGTCGAGCGGTCTGGGCGACGGTGCCCTATTCCCCCATATGCGCTGCGGTGGGGCTCTTCCCTAAACCTTAGCTCTTCCCCTTTCTCCTCAGTGCAACAGACGCCGGAGAAGAAGAGTGCGGCGCCACCGTGGGTCCCCTCGTCGGAGCGCGCGCTCCCCAGTGGGTGAGCGTGCCACCGTCGAGCGGTCCTGTGTCGACGCCCTGAGCCCGCGCGCCGGCAACCCAGCGTCGAGCGGCGGCTCGGCCTGTTCCGCCCGCGCGACGGCGGGTTTCTTCCTGCGCGACGATGGGAAAAACCGGGTAGGTCCTCTCCTTCTCCGTCCGTTCGCTTTCTAGGGTTAGGGTTAGGCGATTTCTCCTCGCGCCCGCGGCGGCTCGGGGTGACTTCCCACGCGACGTCGAGGTGATGGGCGGTGGTGACAGTGTGGGCGGTTCCCAGGTAGGAAAACCCCCTTCCTTTCCTTTATCTTCTTGTGATCTAGGGTTAGGGTTTGGGAAAACTTGGAAATCTTTCATTGCCTACTAATTTCTTTTTAGTTTTCTACCCCAGACTCGATCTACACACTAGGAGAACCTGCCTCTGATACCATTGATAGAAAATATACCCTCTACGATCATAGATCAGGGGAAAAACTTGACTTAGATGAGAGACTTGGTGATGTACCTCGCCATGCGCAGTCACGGCCACAGCGCCACCACGACATGGCCACTGGAGTCGTAGTAGGGGAAGCCATTCAGGCGCCCGCTAGGTCGTCGAACGCAGCAGCAGTGCAGGTGCGGTGCTGTGGCGGCGGTGAAGGCGATGGCGCTTCCGGTCGCTCACAGCGCCCCTCTCGATCGGCATAGGGTTAGGAACTTCGGGGTGGGGCTGACGGCTACCGGTGACCTCATGTCTTGTGCCCTAGCCCCCACCGTCCTTTTATGGCGCTGCGCGACGGGGGACCATCAGCCAGGAGAACCGGCTGAGCGCCCCCGATCATGACACGGAACGAGGGCCCAATTGACCGTTGGGCCCACTGATGGAGATCAACGTAACCAAATCTAAGACAGAAATTCAAATACTACGAGTAAACTTATCAAGAGGGAGTTGCCTTAAATGTCGCATCAAATTGGAACGGGATGCAGAAACAAACAAATGGACACGGCATGGTATGGATCTAAAGGGTAACCCTGACTTCGACGGTAGAGACGCAGAGTAATAGAGCCCCATTTCCAAAGTCACTCCAGTAGCGTCCATTCGAGCAGATACAAATCGAGCTAGCAATTTACAAGCATATTTCTACAGCTGGCTAGCATATTTCTAAGCAGACCACATGCTCGTGCGAAACCAGCCAACGAGACACCACGGGGGATTCAATCCCCGCACCCGAGCACCAAATATTCCTGGAAGGAAGCACGAATTTGGAAATTCCGCATCAGCAACCACAAATCTAGGCCGAATAATCGCTTCGAACCCAGCATCGCGGATGCTGAGCAGAAGGGGGGAGGGCGATCGCACTAAGTAAACGGCAGAAGCGGACCGCGAGCGAGCAAGTAAGATGACGAGAGGTCTAGGGTTCTATGCGGATGTGGTCGTACCGGAGAGGAGCGCGGAGAGCTTGGATTCGCCGCCGTCATCCGCCGCCGCGTCAGTGAAGGCCTCGTCCCCGGTCGACGACGACGCCGCGCGCGATCCCGACGGCGAGTGGGCCATGTCTCTCCCGTTCGCGCGCGTGCGCTGCTGCACCGGCGAAGGGTCGGGGCTGGCTAGCTGTGGGTTTTGTTAAGGGGCACTCAACAGTGGCCGTCGATCTGCATCCTATGGTCGTGGCTGCTATCACCTTAAGCTGGGCCGGCGGGACGAAACGGCCCAAAGGCCACTTTGTCTGCCTAGACCCAGGTTAGGAAGATGCAAGCCAGTACGGCCATGCTCTATAAGAAAAAAGTAGGGAGTATGTATATCCTTAAAAAACAAAATTCAAGCTTGGCTATAAACATTACAGTGAGTCAGGGCAAAAAAACGTAGGGTATAGCCTTCAAAACAAAATTCAAGCTTAGCTATAAACATTCCAGTGAGTCAGGGCAAAAAACCTGACCTTTGAATACTATTCGCCAAGAGGTTAGATGTGTAAAGGTATTTCGTTTAATGTTCACTGCAAAGAGTCTACAAGTTCTAAGACATCAGATCTCTTGCTGATGAATTGATTTGCCCAGGCGAAACATGGAAGGAGCCACACTATATAGTGATTTCAACATACCAGATCCTTCGTGATTCCAGCACAACCATCCGAGTCAAACATGTACGGCAAATTAAGCATAATATCTGATTATCTGAGGGCACCGTCACCCATACAGCTCGCGCCAGGGCTCCTGATCAATTGGTGATTTTTCGATCCCTCTCTTGATAACAGTTTCTCTGGAGAACTCCAAAGCCATGTGCTTGGTCAAGTGCTCTCCTAAGCATTGCAGTACCTGACAATTGGAAGAAATTGGATGAGCTAAGACTCAACAAACTTCACATTTATACATGTATAAATTATAAAACCCTTTTTTCACAATTCTTCAGAACTGAACTGGACGATCATAGCATGCAGGCTTTTAATGCTAGCTATGTGTGGTTATGCACACTACATCATATTACAATATGATAAATTCAGAAGTCAAAACTTTTAACATTGCAGTACTAAATAGACAGCTCAAGAACACCAAGAACCAGACAAGATGACCATAGCAAAAACATGGTGTATTGCTTTTCTTTTCTTTTCTTTTCTTTTTTACAGAAGAGAACTAGAAAACAATGTTATCTGCTGTCCGCATAAATCTTTTAGAGAGTTGAATTGTACTTGCATCCTTATAGGCTACTATGGTACCAAGGTCACAGGCTAACGCATTTTAACATTGCCACTACCTAGCATGCCTATTGTTTTGCTGATGTTTCCCATTTGATCAGAACAATTCTAAAAAATTTCAGGACCACAAAGTCTGCAGAGCTTTCCACCAAAAGGGGGCCAAACAGAAGCAAAGGAAAGCAGAAATAGACCATTATTATCCATGGCAAGAGCCTTGAGCACTTGAATAAAAGAAAATAATGTTTTCACTTAAATCAATACAAAAGTCAAAATATACCTCAAGATCAGAAACTGTAGAGCTCTTGCCTTGCTGCTGCCCACCAGAAGTGACAAGAAGAACTGTAGGCATCTTCAACACGCGCACCATTTCCAGCAAACATAATATTGGTTCACTACGTATTTGCAAGGATGTAGGAGGTTTAGTGGTCCCACCAACAAACGAGTGAGTATAGTCAGTTGTTGCCCCTATTTCAGCACCATGAAGTACAGGCGATGCTTTTGTTGCATGTTCCATTCCACGATGATAGCTTGAAGATCTTGTGTTGAATGGGACAATTAGAACTCGCTCAGTGGAGGTAGCTTCAGAAGAAATCAGTTCCAAGACCTCATTTACAACACATGCTGCAAGAGGGGGCTTATAGTCTGGCAGAACAAAAATGGACACCTGGCAATAAACAACATAGCTTAAGAAATACAACAATTTCCTTATGGAATGAGGAAGGAAAGACAGTGTATATCCAATATTAGCCATCAGAAACATAATTGATGTTTCATGTCATAGAAAAATATAGCCAATTTTTCACTAGTGATGATCATCAAAGTAGACTAACAGCTCGACAGCCAACAGCCCATGGGTTGTGTAATTTGGAAGTCACGTTAACTTACTGACAGCTGGACATCAGTTTCAACTAGCAAGAGGACCACATTGACAAAGAATAGAACACTGTTAGCAGAAACAAGATGAAACCAATTGCATATAGAGCACATATTAAAATTCACAAAATGTTGTCCATTTCCTTACTCTATGTAATAAAACTCAAGCAAGAAAAAACAAGAAATGTGAACCCCAGTAGGAAAGTATCCTTTTTTTCCATTGGCATAGCGCATAGGTTCCACAATCAGTACTGTGCAGTATCATTTTAATTCTGTCCAAATATGATAAGTTGATTGGGATTTAAGAATGAAATCCACGAAAACGTCATTATTATGTTATACTTGCTAAACCATATTTAGTGTTGATGCATCAGGTAGCCTATTGCAAGTAAAGAGGTAAACAGGACGACAGCAACAAAAACAAGGGTGGCATTCACAGAGCATTCAATGGGATCAAGGCAGTTATAAAATTTTTTTGGATCAGCCAGGATGAAAGCCCACAAAAACAAACAGCCGCCACCTAGCTTCAGTTTATTAGTAATATGTTCTAAATCATGACAAGTTGATAATGAGATATGCGAAACAAATCTTCATCTCTTTTTGACCGATGAAGGTTTCTGCCTACACTCAGTAGTCAGTACTGCCAAACCCCGAGGAGTGGAAAGTTTCTGAACCCTGGAGCTTCCATGAAGTTACATTTTGCAGGGAAGTTCAACAAAATGGCAGTGACAGGGAGACTTTTCGTGCCCTGGAAGTGCTCACAGGTTTGTAACCACAACTATGTTTCCATATGAGAAGGGACTTTCAACCTTCAAGGCGAAATAAAAAATGTCCTAGCAAAATCCTTAAAGGATACTCCCTCCGTTTCAAATTATAAGTAGCTTTTGACTTTTTTATTACATCAATTTTGCTACGTATCTAAATAAATAATATGTCTACGTACATAGCAAAATGGATGAACCAAAAAAGTCAAAGTGACTTATAATTTGGAACGGAGGGAGTACTAATCTTCCAGTTTTAAGCAGCAAATCTGTTGTGCCCCAAGTTCATTTTGTTACAGAATTACAGTTAGCTTGTGTAGTACCTTGCAGCCATTTATCCAACCATATAAGCAACAAATTTCCGTTCATTTTGCTAAATTTTAACTGGCAGAACACGAATCAAATCGAATAAATGAGACACCTAGAAATCCTCTGGTGCCCTTACCTGTGGAGAGCCACCGGAATCGGAAAAGCTCAGGAGCTCGCCGGACGCCTTCTCTCCGTCGAGGCCGTACTTGCCGAGGGGGAGCTCTAAGGGCGAGGACTCCCTGCCAGAAACATCCAGCGGCAGTGAGTGGATGCTACGTGCGTTGGAAAGTTATAGGTTAGGGTTTTGGGTGGGAGCGAAAACCTCGTTAGCCCGGGCCGCGGACGGAGCGCGTCGGCGAGGGCCGCGCCGTATCCTGCGGCGTCGCGGACGAGGAAGAGCACCCTGGGTGCCACCCGCATGGCCGCTGGTCGCCGGCGCCGCCGCAGGCGAGTCGATCGGAGGAAGTGCCGCCGGAGGGGAGAGAGACTGCCGATTTCGATCGAGAGAGAAAAATAGTACAACACCACAAGCCGCAGCTACGAGGAATCCAATCAATGCCCTTCTTATAGTGGGTCTTCCCATTTCATGGGCCTCCTCGAGTCCTCCAGCCCGTTTAAATAATGATGGGCCTCATAGTTCGTCAGGCCCTTTCGGCTCCTTGCCGTCCTTTTCAGCCTTGCGTCGCCAAGTGTATTTTTTTTTCCATATAACTAACGTTGTATAATGGCGCCAAGTTTCTTCGATGACGATGAAGGATGCTGTCAGTCTTGCATCGGAGGTTACGTCAGGGACCGGGCATTCAACTCGTGCACATTACTAGTACCTGACAGGAGCGTAGCATGCAGAATGCATCAGCGATGCTGTTTGTCAACGGGCCGCCAAATTTCTCGGTGGCCCACCTCACGAGCAGGAAAATTTTGCTTCTTGAAACCGATATGGATCGTACTGCTCCTACTCCAGTACTGTAGTAGTTAGAAGATTTAGCCCGTGTTTAGTGGGGTGAATTTGGGAATTTGAGCTACTGTAGCATTTTCGTTTTTATTTGACAATTAGTTTTCAACTAATTAGGCTCAAAACATTCGTCTCGTAATTTCCAACCAAACTGTGCAATTAGTTTTTTTTCGTCTACATTTAATGCTCCATACACGTATCGTAAGATTCATGTGATGGATACTGTAGCACTTTTTAAAAATTTAGGGTTGAAATTAACCACGCGCCTAGAGGCAGTTGATTGAAGTGGCAGCTAAGGACAAAACCCCGTGACTTGACCTCACCAATGGAGAGCCACGGCCTCACTGAAAAAGCACTGAGTTTAAAAACTCCACGTAGAACACACCTGCTAGCTAGATTTGGCACATCATCAGCAGCGGATTTAAAATATCCAGTTTGCGTGGCTAACTAAGTAACTGGGATGGCCTGCTACTGCTGATTATATATTTTTATTTCGATTTCGAAGCAGTTGCACTTGGAGCGACAGCTAGCATTTTCTTGAAGCCAGAAAGAGAATGGTTGACAAACAGTTACTGGTTAGTTTATTGCAGTGGAGTGAGTGACTGCGCGTGATTATTCGTTAATTCGCTCCACTGATTGGATGGTATAGAGAGTTTATTGCACGGTTACGAAACCGTTTTTGTAGGAACACAGTAGTGAGTGAGTGAGTGACGGCTTGTGATCAGTCATGGCCCTGTTCGGCAGGACTGAAAAATATTATTCCGGCTGATTGTTGTGAGAGAAAAATATTATTCTGACAAGACGTGAACAGTGATTTCATGAGGTGGCTGGCCAACCAGCCAGCCGGCGACCAGCCAACCGAACACTGCCCATACTACTATATTCAGCGTCTCTAGTTTTGGACAAACTCTTAACTATGATGCATGAAGCATGATTCAGCCTGTTCGGTTGGCTGGTTCGTTTCGTTGCTGGTTTGTGAAGAATTACTGCTGACTGGTTTGTGTGAGAGAAAAATACTGTTCCGACTAAAAATTTACAATCGTTTACAACAAGCCACAGCCAAACGAATAGGCTAATTGATGGCAGCAGCAAAGCTTAAGAGATGTCAGATGCTTATGCACCAAAGCTCAAAGGTGCCGTTTTGAAAAATACCAGTGAAGTGCAACGGTGAGGCCAGTAAAAATACAGGTTCAGTCCCATTTGGATTGCAGTTTTTTTAATCTAGCATTTTTCATGTCAAATTAAACTGATTCGTGGGAAATTTCTATATAAATCCTATGAAATTCGTACGTTCCGTAGCCTTCAAAGGTGCCAAAGGACTTCTAAGATTTATAGGACAGCTAAAGCACAGAGAGGGAAAACACATGTACCCCTCATTCAAGCATCTATAAATCACATTCACGCAATCAAATCTTGCCTGTTTTAGATAACGATACCATAAATGACAATGTTGAATTATGGCTATTCAAATGGATTAGGTTAATTTGGAAACCCAAAAGTTATTAACATAACAGAAGTGGTAGTGTCTAGTGTACAAAAGCATCTTTGGTAGTTAACTCCTAAATGCATAGTTGCATACATGTAGTATGTTTACAGGTAGACTAATTTCACTTGGACCCATCCATAGAAACATGTACAAGTGCCCTGTTCGCTTAGCTGATAAGCTATGACTAAAAATACCGTTGGCTAATTTGTTGTGAGAGAAAATACTGTTCATTGGCTGAAAAGATACGGCTTATAAGCCCCAGCGAACAGGGCGAAGATTGACAACCTTCGTCCACGCCTAATCCAAACCCGAACAAAACCTAAAACACAACAAATCCACACATGGAGGAGTAACTAACGACACGGTTTCCAGTTCCTGAGAAGGCATAAAGATTCAAGCAGCAGCCAGCAGTTCAGCTTCAGCAGCAAGGCTTTGCAGATTGCTAGGCCGCGGCTGCAACGGCGTTGACTTGGCACACAGGCACTAGAGTATGGTGCAGCTGTTGGTGCCGTTGCCATGGCGCGGCACCGCCATAGTCTCCCTCCGCTTCCCGGAGGAGGAAGAGGAGGAGTGTTCCATGGGCTGGTAGTCGTGCCTCTCCACCATCGGCGAGTAATTGACCGGATGGCTGCGCGCCACGGCCCGCGAGTAGCTGCTGACCGCGGCGCCGCCGGCACCGTAGCCGTAGCCGCCCACCGGCGACGGGTAGTAGTGGTAGGAGTACGGGCTGGTGGGCGCCGCGGCGTAGCTGTGCTGCCACTGCTGGTGCTGGTTGTTGTAGGGCGACCGCGCCGCCGCCATCGCCATCATCGCCGCCAGCTCCTGCTTAGTCCCCGGGAGCGGGAGCGCCGCCGCCTCGAACGTGTCGTGCGTCCTCAGCTCCACGATCTCTGCCTCGCCCACCTTCTTCTTGAGCTTCTTCAGGAGCTTGTTCGAGTCCACGCCGTCGCCAATCACCAGCAGCAGGCTCTTGTCGCCGCCGGCCAGCGTCACGGACTCCACTCCTGCTCCAACCAAGAGGGGGAAAAATGATTTGCTGTCGCTGATATGAATGATAAGAACGATGTGATTGCTTCTGAATTCTCATCAGAAACAAGAACAGAGCATCATGCATACCGCTGCCGGCTGCTGCCACCTTCATGGCCTTGGCCTGGCACTTGTCGGATTTCACATGAATCCGGATTATGATCTCCTTCTGAAAAAACAAATGACAGGTGCATAAATATTTCTGAATATGCTCAAGAAAGAAAATCTGAAATACAGTACGATATTTACCCTCATGGTTCTGCTTTGCTGCTCTGTTTTGTGACTGAGCTAGTGAGCTCCAAAGGTAGCAAGCGAGGAGCCGCTTTGTGGGGATGCTGGGAGAGGAAACAAGAAAAAGAAGCGTGTAGTTTCTCTCTAGTACTGACAGACAGGAACAGGACGAATGGTAAATATGCAAGTAGCAGCCACTTTTGAGAAGGGCCTTGTTTCATTAGTCGGCACTGCTACTTGGAAGGCAAGCAAGCGTAATGATCGATCGATAGATAAAGCTCTCATTGGCGAGATATTTAGACGATGACTTTGACCCAAGAGTCTTTGCCGGTGGTTTTTAACTCTATCTCCCGAATTGGCGTTTTTTATGTTCGATCAATCATTGAGGGCCAACTAACATCATGTAATTAGCAAGGCCCACACACTGCTTCTCTTGGCGGAGGCACAAAAAGGCCCACCAAATTAAACTCTATTTTAGCCAAACTACAAAGTTCTTCGTATATATACTAGGTAGCGTGTTTGTACGTTGTTACGGAACAACTAAATTTTTTATACTAAAAACACACGGATCGCACGATAAGATAATAATATTGTTAAATTAAATACCGACGTTAAAGTGACATTTAATTCAAAAAACAAAGTTCGTGAAATTAACACAGTCACGGAGAGCACGACGTCGCAGGCTCACAAACTCTACTGTATAGACTTTTTTCATAATACGGCTAAGATAATATTTTATATCGAAAGAAAAAAATTCTACGATATCCATTTCTTTCATGCGTCAATAAATCCATGAATAAGTTCCGCTGTATCTCCATATAATCATGTACACACATGTTCGAGTATATATGTAAATAGGTTCATGCTCGTGCGTTACTACGGGCCAGCTAAACTTTTATACTAAAAACACACGGATCGCACGATAAGATAACAATACTGTAAAAGTATATAACCGACGTTAAAGTGACATTTAATCCAAAAAGCTAAGTTCGTGAAATTTACAGTCGCAGAGAGCATGGCGTCGCAGGCTTACAAACTCTACTATGTAGATCTTTCCGTGATGCAGCTAAGATCATTTTTTATACCGACAGGAAGAGATTTCCGATATCCATTTCTTTCATGCGCCAACAAATCCACGAATAAGTTCCACCACATCTTCATACCATCCTGTACACGGCGCTGGCAAACGAATTAGCCACAACTTATGTAATTAGTTTTATAATTAGCTCATGTTTAGTCCTCCTAATTAATATCTACCTAGACTAAAGTTTAGTCTGGGATCCAAACACCCCCTAACTCTCGACTCATGCTGGCTGCTCATTTGCACCACCATGCCTATGTATCTGCACGTATATACTCTAATGCCAGAACGTCTAAGATGGTCTTTAAGGTTGTCATTTGTGTATGCTGTAGGATTGTGATGCTTTGCACTGATCCATGATGGTGTCCATGAGAGTCGAAATTTTTGATGTCATTATAATGTTTAAGCTTACCAATCAGACAGAGACGAACTTGATTATTAAAATATTTTCAACATTGCTTTCATATACTCCATCTGTCCCAAAATAGAATTCATTCTCGTTTTCCGAGAAGTCAACTTTTTTTAACTTTGACCAATTATAATATAGGTATTTTTTACATGCATGTAGCCTCAGGAGTCGAACAATTGATTGTTAAATGTTGCACGTATTTTTTACAAACCTAGTCAAAGTTGAACAAGTTTGA